CGATGTCAGGTCTCCCCGAGGACAGCGGGGCTGCAGCCCCTGGTCACACCGCTGAGGACTCTGGTTCCCAGAGCAGCGTTGGCTCGCGATGGGCTGAGGAGCTGTGAGACGCTCGTGCTCCCTGATCAGGGACTGTCTCCGTCCCCTGCCCCCTGCCCGTGTGGGTCTTCCCAAACTTCCTGGGCCCCTCTGTGCCCAGCGTGAAGCCCCACAGCTGATGAGGCAGGGACTGGGCCGCTGTGAGCCGCCCTGCCCGGAGCGTCCCGCTGGGGCCTCTGGCTTTACTAACCGTCCACGCCTTGAGTCCACACCTGGGCCCGTCCTGGGGAGTCACGCCATGGCTCTGGCCGCCTCAGTGGGTCCCCTGTCTCGAGTCGGCACCCACGAGGTGTTCCTGGGGTGTGGCCCTGCGCAGGGCCCGTCCACAGACAAACGCCACTGTGGCTCTGTCCAGCCTGGCCCTGGACTGTCTTCTCTGGCTTGACCCCTGGGGCCTCCGCCGGCACCAGCTTGGGTTTTTATTAGACAAACAAGGACGAGATTGTTTCTGGAAGCCAGGGCAGGTGTGGCTCAATGGGGTCCTTGTAAGAGGGATGTCCCTGCCCTGGCTGTGGGACAGAAGCCGCCGGGAGGGAGCCGAGGCGGAGCCCAGGGGCCAGTGTCCCGGCCCACGGGAGCGGGGGGCTCCCAGCACCACCCTGGTTTGCTGGTTTGAACAAATCCCCAGCCGGACTCTGCGTCCTGACTGCAGTCAGACCAGGTCCGCAGGGGGCTGGCCTCTTGTGGCAGGGCAAGGAGGATGCCTGCCCCCGTCCGCCCCCAGAGAGGCGGCCGGAGGTGGGGTCTGGGCTGAGGACAGTGACCAGAGGCAGGTGGCCTGGGCGGCAGTTTCCTGGTCAGACTTGACGGGGAGGGTTGTGGGAGGGCCCGTCAATACATGCCGAGTGCTTAGAATAGCGCAGCGCAGGGCATGAGCACCTGGTCAGCAGTTCGTTATCATGACCTTGGGCGAGCGATCAACTTCCTAAACCCTCGATTTCCTCGTATTTCCCCACCTGCCAGCTTCCGGGGTTGCCCGGGAGACTGACTGAGATAACAGCCATGCGGTGCTCCAGCGGTGCCTGGCGTGCACTGAGTGCCACCAAAGTCACTTTGCTGCTAGGTTTTCAAGACCTGTGGCGTGAACTCCCCTTTACAAGCTGCGAGGGGCCGGCCACTCTCACCGTCTCTGCAGGGCATGCCGGCCCCCAGCCCCCAACCCCCAGCCTGTGGCCACACTCGCCCAGGCTGCCCGGCTGCCTTGTCCCCACCTCTGCCTTTGGAAGGCCAGGCCCCTCTGGGCCGCGCGAGGTGCAGACAGACCCCTTGGAGAGATCCAGGCCAGGCGCCTCCCGGGCCCGGGTGTGGCCTTGTCTGATTTTCCAGCACAGAGGGAGCGGTGTGCTCTGAACGCCCAGGAAACTGTTAAGTAAGCCGCCCTCTGCATCTTTGCAGACCCCCAGCTCCCTCCCCACAGCCCCCTGACCCGCCAGTACCGCTTGACTTGCTGTCCTGTCTGTGTTCGGGGAAGGGGGGGGGGGCGGCCCCTGCCCCCCTCCCCCCACCTCTCAGAGGTGGAGTGGAAGCTGCTGCCTTCCCCCCTGGGGCTCAGAGGCTGGCAGATTCCCGGGGCGGTGGCCGCCTGCCTCCCCCACACCGGGACCCCCCCTCCAGCACTGGTTTCCATCGCAACCTGAGGGCCCTCGTCAGCCCGCCCCCCTCAGCTCGTGTCTCCCCGGAGACAGCTCTGCCCCAGTCCGCAGACGGGAGGGATTATGCCGGCCGCTGTCGGAGCCGCTGAGGCTGCCTGTGGCTTCAGCCGGCAGCTGCGCCCAGGCGCAGGGAGGCAGTGGTTTTCGGGTATGTGGGCTCGAGAGAACCCACACGGTGGGCCTGGGCCCCCCATCCTTCAGTTTCCCACGTCTCCCCCGGAGCTGGCACGAGGCTGTGTACAGAGAACCAAGTGACGGAGCTTCTTCGACGAGACTCAGCCCAGGAGCTGAGCTCTGCCGGAACCGCCCCGCGGAGCCCAGCCTGAAGGAGAGCCCGAAGCGCGGCCTGCAGCTGCGGCCCCCGCAGAGGGATGTTAACAGCACAGGCCAGCAGGTGACAGGTGTCCCCCGGGCTCAGTGTCCCTCCTGGGACGGGGCTTGGCTGCAGCTTCCGGTAGGAAAATCAAGCCCCTGTGCTGGGCCCACAGGCTCCCTCTGTGTGTGCTCTGAGCCTCCTGACCCGCGCATCGGCCCTGCACCCAGCGGCCCGTTTCTGCTGGGCGGAGCCCGGGGCCTGCAGCCAGCGCGGAGGGCGGGACTGGAGGGCGGGGAGGCTGACAGCCGGCGCCAGGCTTTTGAAAACCTTCTGTGTGCCAGGCACCGTGAGGGGCCAGGGGTGCAGCCTGACCCGCCAGGCGGCACCGCCCCCTCATGGCGCTGCCATCAGGGTGGGGAGAGTCGGATAAGGAAACCGTTGTTGTCGGTGGGTGCCGAGCATGTGGAAAAGCGTCAATCGGGAGATTTAGGTGGGGTGGCATCAGGAGGGTGACCAGGTGAGCGGAGGCCCTGAAGGGCTGGGGGCAGGGTCCAGCTATGAGAGGTGCTGATGATAAAGCGAAAGGAGACCTGTGCCTAGTGGCCTAAGGGATGGCTGGGAGGTGGGGGTGCCCCCTTGCTCCTCCCTGCTCCCGGAAAGGCAGCCCCCGCAGGCCGCAACCAGCCCTCCGCCTTAGGTGAGGCTCTGCTTCTGCTCGCTAGCTGCTGGCCTGGAGGAGGACGGGGAGGCCTGCGGGGGCCCAGCCCTTCCTGCGGGCTGCGGGGGGCCTGGGGGAGGCACCTGCCACGAGAGCGTGTGGGCTACACCTTTGGTCCTCAGCCACCCCAGGCAGCCTGCTCTGCACGGATGGCTTTCGGCTCCGCTTTTGCCTGAATCTCTGGACCAGGTGGCAGTTGTCAGGAGAACCAGCTCAGGTGTCAGGGCAGCTGGAGGATGGGGTTACACACCCCCGGAGACCGGACACTCCTGGCTTCTGAGCTGGCAGCTGCTTGCTGCTGGGGGAGGCGCAGCCCCGCCCCTGTGCCCCGGCACTGCCCCCGCCCTCTCCCCTGCTCTGTACCGCATGGTGCCTGGGGGCAGGCTCTCTGAGGACACGGGACAGGGAGTCAGCCAGACCTGCCTCTGCCCTTATTAGTTATGTGGACAGGAAACCTAACTTCCCTGCCTTGGTTTCCGCATCAGGGAAATGGGCTTATGACTATGTCTGAGGGTTGTCGCCAGGAGGCACGTTGCCCGTGCCTGGCATGGGGTAAGCAGGGTGCCTGGCGCATCACTGCCCCTGTCACAGACATGGTCCTCTTGCAGCAGCTGCTCGGTGATGCTTGCTGCCCAAAGGCAGGCGCCGCGGGGCGGGGCGGGGCGGCTTCCTCCGCGTGGCTGCTGGAGCTTTGATGGTCAGAGAAACCAGAGCCTGCCCGCTCTCCTGTCACCCTGGTACCACCAGGCAGGGCCTGCTGCCCAGCCTGCCCTTGGTGCTGTGGCGCAGCCCCCAAGGGGCCCGGTGTGTGCGGTTGCGGCCCCGGCACCACCCGCACCCCTGTGACCGGGCCGAGGTGCGCACCGTGTGGGAAAGGGCAGCTTGCCTCGCTGCCGGGCGGGTCCAGGAACCTCCGCTGCCCAGCCCCCGGCGACAGCAGCTCCCAGGTCTGTGCGTCTGATCAGAGAGGCCACCTTTGCCCCCATGGGGCCGCCTTTCTTACGGAGGGAATCTGCGCCGTCTCCAAGCCACACAGTGCGCCAGGCGGGGCGAGGCGCCTCCTTGCTAGGCAGGGTGGCTCCTGTTGGTCAGATGCCAGCAGCGGGCAGTGCAGGGGCTGCGGCCGTGAACAGAGAGTGCCACACTGTCCCTCGGGCACCCTCGGCCCTGCCCCTCGCTCCTGCCCAAGTTCCCGTGCTTCCTGTTGACAAAGCTCTGGCCCTGGGCTCCGGGCCCGGCTCCAGCTGCGGGTGAGCCGGCTGGCCTGGAGGGGCGTCTGCATCGGCCAGGGCCCCGCCCCGTCACTCTCCGGCAGGGCTCCTCAGTCCACAAATGCTGGTGCCCCCAGCCCAGCGCTGGGCCGCTGGACAGTCTTATAGGGCCTGCCGCCAGGTGAAGAAGGAAAACGTCCACAGGTCAACCCAGGGCCCGTGGCGGTTCCTGTGTGAAGTGGGCAGGGGGTGACTCACAGTAGGTGCCCCGAGCCTTTGGCGAGGGAGCAGTCCCATCCAGGAAGCCTTCTTGGAAGAGGAGGCATTGAGCTAAGGGGGATGAGACAAGAGGACCTTCATTAAGGATGAGATTGCTGCTGGCTCAGGGCCCAAACAGCTGCAGCAAGTGTGCTGAGCACAGTCCCCCTTCCTGCCACAGTCACCGCTTGTTGCAGTGGGGTGTCAGGACCCAGCTCCCGCTCAGCAGAGAGGACGCCTGCGTGGGAGGTAACAGGGGCTGGGTGTACCCTGGCTTTCTGTGCTGCGGCTGTGTGGGCCTTGTCAGCTTGCGTCATTTCTCTGGGCCCTTCTCCGGTAAGGTCAGGATGACACATGTCTGTTCACGGGGTGTCATGAGGGCTCAGCTTCTCCCAGTAGTGAGACGGGACAGGTATGGGGCTGTGGCTGCGCTCACTGCCCAGTGGGTGGACGGCCTTCCCTTCTGGAGAGGGCTGAACGCGTGCAGGCTTCTGACGGGGGGCGGGGGGGGGGGTCATCCTTACCGCCTCAGGACTCTTGCCTGAAAGCTCCCAGTGGCTTTGTGGCTTTGGGTGTCAGCTGTTGTTAGAGCTGTGCACCTCAAACCTTCAGAGGCTTGGTGTGCAAGGTTGAGAAAGTGATTGTCCGTCTCTGTGCCCACATTTTGCCGGCAGCCCGTCCTGGCTGTGCACTGGCCTGCTCTCTGCTGGGTGGTTTCTGAATTCTGCCCTCTCTGTTCCCTCTAGGCCATCAGTATCAGCAAAGCCATCAACACCCAGGAGGCCCCCGTGAAGGAGAAGCATGCCCGGCGTATCCTTCCGTGCCATCTGAGGCCCTTTGTCTCTCTGGGTCCCTGGGGGAGGGGAGCGGGGAGGGGAGGGAGAGGACGTGGGGCTGCCCTGCGTAGTCTCTGACCGGGGTATAATGGGCGTGGTTTAGGGGAGCAGGGTGGTGCTGCAGGTGGCCACCGAGGCTTTGTGAAGTCCACTCTCACCAAGGTGGGTGGTGCCATGAGGCTTGTCCCCTGGGCCAGCCGGCCCTCCTGCCCTCCTGCCTTGCTCAGCTGTGGTCAGATTCTGAGTCCCATCTTGGGAACACCACCTATTTTCTTAGACCATTGGCTCCAGTTAAATTTGAAGGGCGTGACCTTGCCCTTTTTCTTGCCCTAGCTGAGAACAGTAGCTCTTGGTGACCTGTGGGAGGTGTGGAGGGAGAGGAGTGTGGGGAGGAGGGACTCAGTGGCTGTGGGGCGAGGGGTCGGCTTTCCACATGGGTCTCTGCAGTCGCTGAGTCTCTACTTCCTGCACTTGGCCTTGACGCTGGTAGGCATCATTCTGGGCACTCACCACGAAAAGGGGGCCTTCACCTTTTGGTCCTATGCCATCGGTCTGCCACTCCCAAGCAGCTCCATCCTCAGCTGGAAGTTCTGCCATGTCCTCCACAAGGTCCTTCGAGACGGGCACCCCAATGTGAGTAGCTGCTGTCCGCCGGTCCCGAGAGGGTCTTCTGTCCCAGGCACCTACTCTCAGGGCAGCAGCGGGAGGCTGGGGGGCCTGGGCCTTTTGTCTGCTGCCACCTGAGCAGGCCAGCACCCCGGGGGAGCAGAGGATCCCCCGTGCCCCTGTGATATGAGAGACTTATCCCACCTTGCCTGCTGCCCTCCACCCTCGTGCCCCATGTGCCAACTAGCACAGGAATCAGTGTGTCAGGGCCTTCCTGCCAGTTTGGGATCCTTTATCCTTCTCCCGCGTCCCCTGTGTGCTGCAGGTCCTCCATGACTGCCAGCGGTACCGGAGCAACATTCGGGAGATTGGAGAGCTGTGGGTAGGTGTGGGGGCGAGCTTGGGGGCCTCCAGCCCTTGCAGGCAGCACCTTCCACAAAGTCCAGCCGTAGCCCTGCTTGGGGTTCGAGCCCCCCAGCGCTGGGGCTGAGCGATGGCAGCACCCGGTGACGGGAGTCTTTCTCCCTCATGCTCTCAGAATGGAAGTTAGGATGATGCTTTTTGGGGTGACAGTGGGGGGAGGTGAGCCTCCTACATGGAGCTGTGGCCTTACTTTAGAAGGTCTGAGACAGGAAGTTCCAAATGCAGGACCAGGGGCCTCCAGCTCCAGAAGCGTTGACCCTTTGGTGCCTGTAGGCCAGGAAACGTGGCTGTCCTGCGTCTGGGCGTGTCCCAGAGGTGGTGGGGGCCTGTGTGAGGGGTGCATCCTCCTGGACTCCCCAGACTGGCTGCTTTAGAATCTTGGGATTGGAAATCTGTGTCCTCGAGATGCTCCTCAAAAGGCTCCTATCCACGGTCAAGGCTGTGAGCCTGGGAGCTTGCAATCCAGACCCACGCCAACCCCATCAGGGATGGGGCGGTCCTTGGACGGAGAGGGGGCCTCGGCCTTACTTGTCCTCTGGGAGCCACACTAGGACCCCGCTGGGGCGGGTGAGCCCCAGAGCCACTGCGATTACGGGTGCCCCCGAAGTAAGGAAAACAGCAACCAGGGTGCCATTTGCAGATGCAGGCCCAGCTGGCGTGGCCCTAAGGGACATGGTTTGGGAGGTGACAGAGGAGGCAGCTGGGAGGATGGGGACACATGCCTGTCGGAATGTGCCTCCCTGGCTGCCGCCAGCATTTTAATAAAGCGTCCAGCTCAGAACTGGCCGCTGCCCCGGACAAGGAGCTCTCTTGTCCCGAGAGTTTCTTTGGCAAGACTGACCGGGAGTAAGATGACAACGTGAAAGTGAGGGGAGGGAGCTGAGACCAAGGGGCCTGGCGGAAGCACTCAGGAGGGAAGAGCCCACCGCCTCTGGTGGGTTGAGCGACGTTTGTTGAGTGAGTGACTGGGTGGGTGGATGAAGGAATGACTCTTAGCTTGTCACGTCAGCTTCCTGGTCTGCCCTGCAGCGTGCCAGGTCCTGTGGGATTCTCGGGCACATTCCCAGGGCAGTGGACTCTGACCCCCCTCCTTTCTCCGCAGGGGCATTTGCATGATCGGTATGGACAACTGGTGAATATTTACACCAAGCTCTTGCTGACCAAGATCTCCTTCCACCTCAAGGTAGTCTCCTCAGGAGGACCGTGGGGCTGGGGGGACCCTGGGCTCCTCCCTCCAGGATGTCCTGGGACTTAGAGGAGGGCAGCTTCTGTTCATCCTCACCTCGACCCTGTGGTCCCCCGGCCTGCGGGCCACAGACCGGTACCACACCCCGTGGCCCGCGGCACCTGAGCTTCGCCTCCCGTCAGATGGGTGGCGCGTTAGACTCTCGCAGGAGCGCGAACCCTGCTGCGACTGCGCGTGTGAGAGGCCTGGGCTGCGCGCCGCTTAGGAGAGCCTGGTGCCTGTGCATCTCGGAGCCGCGGGGGCACCGGTGCTGGGGAGCGGCCGCACGCACGGCTTGCCCTTAGCAGAGGTGTGACTGCACAGAGGCCGTACTGGATCAATTGCTTGCAGACTCTCAAGCCCTACCAGCGAGTGGCAAGTGACAATTAAGCTGCACCTGGTGACAGGCTTTTAGTCAAAATTGGACACGTGTTTTAGTCCATGTGTGGCCCACCCATTTTATTTACCACTTCTGCCGGTGCCTCTTTCCCGCGCTGCGCGCTTGGCTCAGTCATAGTTTTGGTAAGCCCACGTGCTAACCCGGCATGTGGTGAGCTGTATAATTACTTCATTATATGTTACAGTGTGATAATAATAGAAATAAAGTGCACAATAAATGTATTGCACTTGAATCACCCCCAAACTATCCCTTACCCCATCCATGGAAAAACTGTCGTCCACGAAGCTGGTCCCTGTACCCAAAAGGCTGCCCCAGGGGAAACGAGGGGCATCAGCACCTCACGAAGGCCAGGGCCGCTTGAGGCACTTCCTGAGGACCCTGGAGGTGGACTACGCCTCGCCCTTGGCCCCAGGCAGCCACTCCGCCCTGGCTGGACATCCTGTCCTCTGTCCTCGGCTCCAGTCACTTGCAGCCCCGCCTCAGGCAGCGCCCAGGGCAGGTGGAGGCCCCTCCGGCCACTTGCCCTCCCTTCAAAGTTAGGCCTGGGCCGAGCCTCCATGGGCCGCTGTTGACAGGGGTGTCCTTTCGGCAGCACCTCCAGTTTCCTGCGGGCCTCGAGGTGACAGACGAGGTGTTGGAAAAGGCGGCTGGGACTGACATCAACGACATGTGAGTCCCTCAGGAAGGCGCGCGGGCCTGGCACCGTCTCCCTTTTCCTCGTTCCGTTTCCCTCTTCGTGCTTAAGGCCGCCCGCGCCCAGTGCCACATGTCTGTCCACGGCTCTCTGGGGCTGAAGGCCACGCTTCCCGGAGACGAGGCTAAAGCTTACGGGATGGGACTGGGGTGGCTGGAGAGCTGCTGCCCTATGCAAAGGCGTGTTGACCAACGAGGGGTTCTCACAGGGGTGGGCCCCCCACTCAGCCCTGTCTCCCTGTCCCCGCAGCTTCCAGCTCACCGTGGAGATGTTCGATTACATGGACTGCGAGCTGAAGCTTTCCGAGGCAGGTGAGCCTGCCGCCTCTGGGCCGGGCCCGCCTTCCCTGATCGTGCCTGCCCATCGGCGGTCCGCAGGGGCGCCCCCAGCACGGGGGAGGGGGCGCCAGGCCCCTGGCGGGTGTGGTGTCTGCGGTTCCTTCCACCAAGTAAACCCACCCCTCCTGTCCCAGCGCAGGCAGCCAGGGGCAAGGGCCACCACGGGCTGCGTCTCTGGGGTCCCGGCTCAGTTCCCGCCTGGAGGAGGTAGCGGGGGCCCTCCTGCTTCCCACTGTGCAGCGGACGAGGCCCCTGAGTCATGTCAGACTTCCCAACCCCGGGAGCCGGCAGCTGCTGGGCAGGAAGTCTCCAGGCTCCCTCTCCCGGGGCCGTGGAGGTGATTGTTTTGGGTGACAGCTTCAGAATAACTTGTGGGTGACTCATGGTTTTCATGGGAGGATAAAAAGCAAATGCCTGTTTAAGGGAATATCAGAGTTAGAAGGAGGGGAACTCCGGACTCCGAGGCCAGGCGGTCCAGCGGGCAGCGCGGAGCTGAACCTCGCTGCCCAGGACCCAGCCGGGCAGCGGTGGGCAGGTGTCCAGGGCCGTGGCTGCCAGCCTGAGCCCTGGCAGCGATGTGCCAGGCGGGAGCTGAGTCCTGCGGTCCCCACCCCTGTCCTGCTCTTGGCCTGGGAAGGGGAGGAATGTGGGTGGGGCGGGGGTCCCCGCGAGGGAAGGTGGAGAAAGCCCACAGGCCGGTGCGCAGTCCTAGGGACACGGAGGCCTAACAAAGCACAGAGAAGGGGCAGCGCGTTAGTGCCGGTGCCAGCGTCTCCCTGGAGAAAGGCGCTGGGGCGAGTCCCTGCCCCGAGGCCACTCCCGGCGCGGTTGGTGCAGCGGCCCAGACAGGAACGCCCAGGGCGCCCTCGGTGGGACAAGGGCCGCACCTCGAACAACCTCCAAAATGGAACATCACGTGTGTGTTCATTTTTTCCGAAGAGAGTGTACTCGACATGTAATTGACAATTAAGTTTTTAAAAGGTGAAGGGCAGCCCTTAGCCCCTCCTGCCCGCCCTGCGCCTCCCTGGCGTTCTCGCGTCACTGCGGAGCTTTGCTGCCCCCGGCCCAGGCACCGCAACGGCGGCTGGCGCTCGGGGGCACAGCCCCGGCATCTGCGCCGCCCCGGCATCTGCGCCGCGGGTGGGCCTGCTGGTGGCTCTCGCCCCCTGGGGTGCGCTGCACGTTGGCCCTCTGCCCAGAGAAGAGGCCGGCGGGGGAGGCAGCCCCATGTTTGTCCCTTCCCGCCTACGTGGGCGGTCTGATGAAGGCTTGATTGTCAGGGTTGAGGGGGGCTGACCCCGGGTGCAGGTGAGGTTTGGGGGTCACTTGGGGTGTGCGGAGCCGAGTCCTGACTCTCCTGCAGCTGCGCATCTCGGGCCCGCCCTGGCCTGGCCGAGCCGGGCTCTGTCTGCGGGCCTCGTCGCCCTGGTGTGAGGGGCGCTGGCCTCGGCCGGGGGCGTCCCGCCTGGGAGTGAGGAGCCCGCTGGTGGCCGAGGTTCCGGGGGGGGTCCCAGTGCCCAGCCGGGGGTGGTAAAGCCAGGCTGCCCAGGCTGTCGCCTCCCAGGGCTTCCGTGACGATGTCAGGAGACCGCAGCCAGGGCCTGTGCCCAGCGCTGCCCACAGCCCAGTGGTCACCCACCAGCCCCTGCCTGCGTCCCCCAGCCCTGCGCTCACGCCCCTCCCCCCGCCTCTTCCCCTCGTGCAGTTTTCCGGCAGCTCAACACCGCCATCGCCGTGTCCCAGATGTCCTCGGGCCAGTGCCGCCTGGCCCCCCTCATCCAGGTCATCCAGGACTGCAGCCACCTCTACCACTACACGGTCAAGCTCCTGTTCAAGCTGCACTCCTGTGAGTGCCCGGCCCGTGGCCGGCCGCAGGCCCCGGTGCCGCCCGAGCCCCAGGGGGGCTTGTATTGGCCCACGTGTCCTGTATCAGAAATGAACAGTCGAGAAATTAATTGAAAGTAGCAGTGATAAGCTCGTTGCCCGTGAACATAAATCACATACTTGTGAATGAAAAATCACCATTTTCCAAAACAAATACTCAGTGAGAAAAGCGGCGGCGTCTGCCCTTCTGGAACTCACAGCCTCAGAGGGGCCTCGCGGCCCTGTGTTCAGGGGCCGTGCCGTATCTCTGCGGTGGGGTCTTGTCCCTGGAGTCACTCTGAGAACTGCCGCCCGAGGGCACGTGAGCCTTTCCAGTGTTAGCCCCGAGCAAACAAGCCTAAAGTGAGTTTACAGTGCCCCCCAGAGCCAGGCCTGGCGGGCTCGCTGTGGCCACGCGCCGCCTCTCCCTTCTGCAGCAGCCCGGCCAGTGGCGGGCCTCTCTAATTGGCGACAGTTTTGAGAACATGGAGGGGAAGGGAGGGAGGGAAGGTGAAGGCTTGGCAGCCAGGGCAGCGAGCACAAAGTTTACCAAACCCATGCCCCTCAGGCCTCCCAGCGGACACCCTGCAAGGCCACCGGGACCGGTTCCATGAGCAGTTCCACAGGTACCGTTGGACAGGGCTGTGGGCATGGCTGCGGCGGCGTGGGCTGCGGCCGCCCGTGGGGCCAGCTCTGCCCTGACCTCCGCTCCCTCCCCGCAGCCTCAGGAACTTCTTCCGCAGAGCAGCTGACATGCTGTACTTCAAGCGCCTTATCCAGATCCCCCGACTGCCCGAGGTACCGGCCTGAGGGGGCCGCCGCTGGCTGCCACCCAGGGCCCCCTCTGGGACGTGAGCCCTCGTGGGGCCCAAGGGACCTGGCAAGGCCCCGCGTGGGCTCTGGGGATGGGGGTGGAAGGCTCCGGGTGGGCCGGGGGGACGCTGAGCTGCTCCTGCCTGTGCCCCTGGCAGAGTCCCCCGAACTTCCTGCGGGCCTCGGCGCTGGCGGAGCATGTTAAGCCGGTGGTGGTGGTCCCTGAGGAGGCCCCTGAGGACGAGGAACCCGAGACCCTCATTGAGATCAGCACAGGCCCCCCCGCTGCGGAGCTGGCGGTGAGTGCCCCCTCTTCCTGCATGGGGGGTTGAGGTGGCAGCCTGGAGGGCGGGAGTCACCGTGCTTTGCTGCGGCAGGTGGTGGCCGACCTCTTTGATCAGACGTTTGGACCCCCCAATGGCTCCTTGAAGGACGACAGGTGAGAGCCCTTGCAATGGCTGTGGGCGGGGCTGGAAAGGCCTGCGGGGAGCTGCTGTCAGGATGGGCCGTGGGCGGGGCTGGAACTCGCGACACCCAGATCCTGAGGGCCCGCTGATGAGACCACCAGGCTTGTGCGGGGGGTCTCCAGATCTTCCTGGTTGACTGACCGTGGACGCCAGGCCCCTGCGGGCCTCAGGAAACCCTGCCTGACTGACCTCTGCCCCCAGGGACCTCCAGATCGAGACCTTGAAGAGAGAGGTGGAGACCCTCCGCGCCGAGCTGGAGAAGATGAGGCTGGAGGTGAGGGGCGCGGGCGGAGGCTGGGCCTGGGGCTGCGCTGCTGCACCCCCCGCCTGCGCGCAGGCCCAGCGCGGCCCCTGCAGCCATGGCCACAGCCATGCCCTCCCCGCCGCCACAGGCCCAACGATACATCGGGCAGCTGAAGGGCCAGGTGAACGCGCTGGAGACCGAGCTGGAGGAGCAGAGGAAGCAGAAGCAGAAAGCGCTGGTGGACAACGAGCAGCTCCGCCACGAGCTGGCCCAGCTGCGGGCCGCCCAGCTGGAGGGCGAGCGGAACCTGGGCCTGCGCGAGGAGGCCGAGAGTGCGTGGCAGGCCAGGGGCGGGCGGCGGGGGGGGGGGGGGCGGGGCGGCCCCAGTGGGGGGCGCTGCTGAGCGGGGGGTCATGGCTTCGCCTCTCCCCCAGAGAAGGCCAGTGCCACGGAGGCGCGCTACGCCAAGCTGAAGGAGCAGCACAGCAAGCTGGTCGCCACGCACGCCGAGCTGCTCAGGAAGGTAGGGTCCCGCCCCGGGGACAGCAGGCGGGCGGATGGCGGGGAGCCCCGAGCGGAGGCAGAGCCTGAGCCCGAGCCCGCCCTGCCCGCGCAGAGCGCAGACACGGCCAAGCAGCTGACGGAGAAGCAGCAGCACCAGGAGGAGGTGGCGCGGGTGAGGGAGCAGCTGACCTTCCAGGTGGAGCAGGTGAAGCGGGAGTCCGAGATGAAGGTGCGTCCCCCTCGAGTGCACAAGCTGACCCTGGCGTCCCCCAGCAGTGCCATCCCCGTGGCACGTTGTCCCTGTGACATGCTGTCCTTCCTGTCCCAGCTGGAGGAGCAGAGTGACCAGTTAGAGAAGCTCAAGCGGGAGCTGGAGGCCAAGGCCGGGGAGCTGGTGCGCGTGCAGGAGTCCCTGAGCCGCACGGAGCAGGTGAGCCGGCTGTGACCGCGGTGCTTGGTGCTTGGGTCGGGCGGCGGGGAGCCCGCGGGTCCTCTCCCGCGAACTGGGCCACGCCTAGACGCCACGGGGTCGGTTCAGAGGCCCCTGGGCAGTGCTGGTGCCTGGCTCGGACCCAGCACCTGGCCCATGCGGGACGCGGGCGCTGGCCTTCCAGAAGCTCTGTGTGGGGCGGGTACGGGAGGCGGGGCCCCTGGAAGCCCTGCTCACTTGCCTGGCGTTCACAGAGCGGGTCGGAGCTGAGCTTGCGGCTGGACGCGCTCAGCGCGGAGAAGGAGGCGCTGAGCAGCGCCGCGCGGCAGCGGGAGGCCGACCTGCAGGCGGCGCAGAGCCTGGCACGGGAGAAGGAGGCGGCGCTGAGCCAGGAGCAGCAGCGCCACTCCCAGGAGAGGGACGAGCTGCGGGGGCGGCTGGCGGACAAGGTAGCGGGCCTCCCCCGCCCCCTGTGACAGCTGGCGCCGGGGGTCCACCCACAGCCCGCCCGCCGAGAGGGGGCAAGCCAGGGGTCAGGGTTCATCTGGCACTTCCGGCCGTTTTCACCGCTCCAGAGAGAGCCCCTCCTCCATAAGCTGCCCGCCCGCCCGCCCAACGCGGACCCTTCGCAGACGTGGGGTCGCCCCTCGGGGCCGGCGTCTCTCCCTCGGCACGTGTGTTCGGGCTCACCTGTGTTTGAGAGCTTCGTGCCTCTCCGTGGCCCGATGACGTGTGCTGTGGGGTGTTAATCCAGTGCCAGCTGATGGACACTGTGCTTGTCCCCGCGTCCTGGTTATTGTGAATGATGCTGCTGTGAACATTTGTGTATAAGCTTTTGTGTGAACGTGTTTTTTGTCTTGGATACATAAAAACGGGCGGGTTTTCTGGGCCACCTGGTAACTCTCTTCAGCCTTCGAGGAACAGCCAGTGTTTCCAGCTGCGGCTGTGCCATTTCCCATTCCCGCCGGGAGCGTATGTGGGCTCCAACCCCCTTACAGCCTCGCCAGCACTGGCTACTGCCTGCCTTCCTGTTTGGCCACCCTGGCAGGGCCCCACTGTGCTTTTGATGTGCAGTTCCCCGGTGGCTGATGATGCTGAGCATTTTTTATGTGTTCATTGCCATAAGTACACCTTGGGAGGAATGTCCAGATCAGATCCTTTGCCTCTTTTTTAACTGGATTGCTTGTCTTTCTACCGCTGAGCCACCTGCCCCACTTGCGAGGGGCCCCCATCCTGGCAGTGGAGCAGGGCCTGTCCCCCGACCGCCCCACCGCGAGGGTCTCAGCTGGCTGCCCTGGGTGGGGTCTCCACACTGCCTCTCCCCTCCCCGCAGGAGAGTCAGGAGCAGGGCCTGCAGCAGAGGCTCCTGGACGAGCAGTTCGCAGTGCTCCGGCGCACGGCCGCCGAGGCCCAGCGCATCCTGCAGGACGCCGTGGGCAAGCTGGACGACCCCCTGCACCTGCGCTGCACCTGCTCCCCGGGTAGGCCTGCCGGCCGGCACCGCAGCACCTGCCTTCCCCACCGCGCGGCCGGCAGGGAGGGCTCCCCGCCCCCCGAGGCCCTGCCCCTCACCCCCTGCCCCTCTGTTGCAGACTACCTGGTGAGCAGGGCCCAGGCCGCCCTGGACTCCGTGAGTGCCCTGGAGACAGGCCACACCCAGTATCTGACCTGCAGGTCAGGTGAGTGGGGGGGACGGGACCGGGCAGGCACAGGCCGGTGGCTGTTGGGTATGAGGTTTCCCACAATGGAGGGCACCGAGCAGGGGCTCCCCATCCGTGCCCGCCTGGGAGCCCCGCCAGGCCAGGGCTCGGCCCCCGCTCTGCGGCTTTCCGGCAGTGTGACCGGGCCCAGCGCCACCCCCGCCAGCGCCCCCCTCACCCTCCTGCGGACCGGGCGCTGGCTGCGAGGCCCCGGAGGCGTCAGGCTCTTGCTCTCCTTGCCCACAGATGCCTCTGCCCTGGTCGCGGCCCTGACCCAGTTCTCCCACCTGGCTGCCGACACCATCGTCAACGGTGGTGCCACCTCTCACCTGGCGCCCACCGACCCTGCCGACCGTAAGTGGGCCGGGCTGGTGTCACACGGGTCCTCACGACTGACCGGGGAGGGACAGGCCCTGGTGTCAGACCCTGGGCTGGGGCCTCTGTGGGGGCCTCTCCCGGGGCCCGCGGCTGCCGGTTGCCCTCACGGTCCTCTCCCCCAGGCCTGGTGGATGCCTGCAGGGAGTGCGGGGCCCGGGCGCTGGAGCTCACGGGGCAGCTGCAGGACCTGCAGGCCGTGCCGCAGGCCCAGCCCGGCCTGGTGCGGACCCCTCTGCAGGTCATTCTTCAGCTGGGCCAGGTGAGCGTGGGCTGGGCTCTCTTAGGGCTCAGGGGGGCTGGGGCGGGGCTGGGACCCCAACTTCTCTGCACCTTCCTCCAGTTTGGGCCAGGTGGGGGCTCGTGCCGAGGGCTGTGGGCCCAGAGCACTGCTGCCCCAGCCTCTCCCAGGCTGCCTGTGGGGTGGCGGGGGGCCAAAGCCACCCGCCCGACCCGCGTGCCCTCCTGCCCTAGGAGCTGAAGCCCAAGAGCCTCGACGTGCGCCAGGAGGAGCTGGGGGCCATGGTGGACAAGGAGATGGCGGCCACGTCCGCGGCCATCGAGGAGGCTGTGCGGAGGATCGAGGTGAGGGCCGGGGCGCCGTTCCCGCGGGCCCTGGGGCCGGGCGGGCTGAGTGCAGGCTGCGCCCACCCTGCGAAGGACAGACGGCCGTGCTGGTCAGGACAGGGAGGCACCCTGGCATCGAGCCCTCCCCTACCCGGCCCAGGGCTGCTCCCGGGGGCTGGTCTAGCACTGGAGGCCCCCTGCCCGCGCTGCCCTCCTCCCAGCCCGCTCACGGCTCTGTCCCTGGCACAGGACATGATGAACCAGGCCCGCCACGCCAGCTCGGGGGTGAAACTGGAGGTGAACGAGAGGTGAGCCCCCTGCTGGGCCCCCGGCCCGAGGAGTCAGGTTCCCAGACCAGAGCGAGCTTGGGGCGGGGCGGGGAGGATGGTGTCAGCCCTCCTGAGGCTCAGGGAGGGGCTGGCGGCGCCCGCGTGGGCCCAGGCTGCTGAGCGCCGGGGTCGGGCAGCCCCGTCTGTCCACTGAGAGGCCGGGGGCCACCGCCGGGGCCTCCAGGGCCGCACTGTGACCTCTGTCTCTCTCCCTGCCTCCTCCGCCTGCAGGATCCTCAACTCCTGCACAGACCTCATGAAGGTGAGCGGCGGCCGGGACCCCTGGGGCGGGCAGGCAGGCGGGCTCTGTCGTGGAGGGGCCGCCCCAAGAGTGACGCGCGTCTTGGTCTCTGCAGGCCATCCGGCTCCTGGTGACAACGTCCACCAGCCTACAAAAGGAGATCGTGGAGAGTGGCAGGGTGAGTGGGCCCCCCAGCGAGGCCTGGGCCCCCAGCCGCAGGGTACTCGTGCCTGGCGATCACAGCTGCACAGCTTCCCCCACAGTCCCGGGGGTGCCCTGGAGGCCGGTGGGAGGGAGAAGGGCCCCCGGCACATCCGTTGCCCGCTGTGACATCTGACTGGTCTGCCCTGCCCTTCCCCCTTTCGCCACTAGGGGGCAGCCACGCAGCAGGAATTTTATGCCAAGAACTCCCGCTGGACTGAAGGTCTCATCTCTGCTTCCAAGGCCGTGGGCTGGGGAGCCACACAGCTGGTGTATGTTGCCCCAGGTGGGGGGCAGCCGGGAGCGTGGTGCCCAGGATCTGGAGGGTGGGTGCGGGGCAGCCCGGCCCTCCGTGGGGTTGGAGACCCAGGCCTTCCCCGGTTCGGCCCCCAGGGAGTCGGCTGACAGGGTGGTGCTTCACACGGGCAAGTACGAAGAGCTCATCGTCTGCTCCCACGAGATCGCGGCCAGCACGGCCCAGCTGGTGGCCGCCTCCAAGGTGAGGCTGCCGCGTGCCTGCCCGGCCCATCTGCTCAGGGGCCTCAGCTCGCGGCTGTGGCGGACGTGCCGCACATGGCCCGCGACCTGACCCGCACCCACGCCCCTGCAGGTGAAGGCCAACAAGGACAGCCCCCACCTGAACCGCCTGCAGGAGTGTTCCCGCACGGTCAACGTGATGGCCGCCAACGTGGTGGCCTCCACCAAGTCCGGCCAAGAGCAGATTGAGGACAGAGGTGGGGGCTGGGGGCTGGGGGGCTGAGGGCTGGACGGCAGGGGTGGGGCCCGGACACTCAGCCCGCCTCTCTGGCCACAGACACCATGGACTTCTCCGGCCTGTCCCTCATCAAGCTGAAGAAGCAGGAGATGGAGACCCAGGTAGGCGCCCACACCCACCCCGCAGCCTCCCGGCTTCGCAGCTGAGCTCCGCGGGGCAGGGGTTCCCCGGAGAGACCGCGGGGTCTGCTGAGTGTGCGTGGCCTGCAGGTCCGGGTCCTGGAGCTGGAGAAGACGCTGGAGGCAGAGCGCGTGCGGCTTGGGGAGCTTCGGAAGCAGCACTACGTGCTGGCCGGGGGGGTGGGGGCGCCAGGCGAGGAGCCCTGCCAGCCCAGCGCTGCGCCCCACAGCGGGACTTCCAAGAAGCCACCCCTGGCCCAGAAGCCCAGTGTGATCCCCAGGCAGGACCACCAGGTAGGGACCACCAGGTGCCAGGCGTCCGGGCTAGGATGGGCCGGAGCCCTGGAGGCTGCTGCTCGGCCTCTGCTCCCAGGCCTGCGGGACAGGGCCGTTGGCAGGTCGGAAAGTGGCCCGGCTGGAGCAGGGATGCTGTCCCAGCAACACCTGGGGCTCGGCGTCGCTCGAGGGGAAGGTGCAGGGGCTGAGGAGATGGCGATGGTGCGGGGGCCTGGCCTGGGCTGGGTCGTGCACCCCAGCCAGGTCCAGTGAGCCCCTCACCTCTGACCCCTGCAGGTGAACAAGAAGGATGGCGTCTGCCCGGCTCCACTCGTGAACTCCTAGGCTCCGGAGGGGTCCAGCGGGACTGGCCGGTGGGCCGGGTCCCCATGGGGCTGTCCTGGCTTGGCCGAGAGGCTTTGAGGGGCGCGGTCCGTACACCAGGTGCTCTGGCCTGCCCCACGGCCTGGGTCAGTGTCCCCGAGGCCCCAGCCCTTCCTGTGCTCGTGGGGTCTGGGCCGAGCCGGGCTGATGGGGGCAGTTCTCTCGGACGCGAGTATTTATCAGCCACGGGACCATCTGAGAGCAGCCAGGACCCAGCAGGCCTGAACCTCGATGCAGGAAACACGCGGACACTTGTACTCTTCCCAGCCAGAGCTCTCCTTCCTGAGCTTGTGTTCGGCACTCTGGGAAGCAGGGGGTGGGGGGCTGGCCACCCTTGCCTTTTGGACTTGGGGTCTGAGGTGAGAGGTGAACGGAAAGAACACAGGCCCTGGGACACGGGTCCATGGAGATGGGACCCGGGGCAGGGCAGGGCGCTCTGGGCGAGCTGGGGTCCCCTTCCTCCCCAGGTCTCGCTCTAGGGCACCCGCAGCGGGGGTGCGGAGGAGGGCGGGGCCCTCGTCTGGGGGAACAGACGGACTGGGCGCCGCTGCTGGCAGAGCGGACACAGCTGAGAGCCCGCGCCCACCGGCCACAGGTGCTGCCCGCGCGCCGGGAGTCTGTTCCTGCTGAAACCGGGTGACCGCCCGCTTCCTGTTTTTCATTCCGTCTGGCTGCCCGTGCCCTGGGGGCCTGGTGCTGGCCGCTCCCGTCGCCCACCTCCGCCCACCCGCCGACCTCTGGATCAAGGGAGCCTTGTGCCTCGCAGGAAGAGGGCGGCCCGCCCCGCCCAGAGCTGGGGCTGGTCTGGCCGCCCTGCCCGCTGGAGGGGGCTGTGAATGGACTTCTTGTTGTGTGAGAGTCCCCTCGGGGAGTGGCTGGGCACGGCGGGGACCTGTCTGGGGGAAGAGAGCCAGTAGCCGGGCCGCCCGGCACTCCCCCAGCCCCACCCCACCCCTGTCTGGGCGAGCACATGGGCCCGCTCCTTGGAGCTTAGTGTTTTCTTGTATTAGCGTTGGGTCGGCAATAAAATGCACTTTGTTGTCACCATGGCCTCAGTGAGGGGCTGTGCCTGGCCATTCATTTCTCTGGGACCAGGACAGGGGTGGGACCCCGCTCAGTTTCTGCCAGCGACAGCAGAGCGCTTGGCCCTGCAGCGGCCCGGGGCCGGCACTGCTCTGGGGCGGCCGAGAGTCGTCCGGGCAGTTTCTTGGGATGGCTCCCGGCTGGAGGCCCCGGGCCCTGCCCGGGGGCTTTTCTCCGTGGCACCCAGGCCACCCCCGGGCCTTGGTCCCCAGACCCCTGGTTCTCAATCCCGACCTCCCCCCAAGTCCTGTGGTAAACCAGGCGCCTCGGGAATGGAAGGGGCGACTGGGACCTGGCCCGTCTAGACCAAGATGCAAGCCCCACAGCCTGTCCGCCTGAGACCTTCACAGGGGCCCAGGCGCCTGTCCCCAGCAATGCACCCCTGGGGGGATGCTCCTTTCTTGGCCGACCGCCCTCTGACCCCCCAGCCGCAGATCACGCGTTTGGGACAGGACAGTGCGGGGGCGTCGCCCTGGGAGGCCCCCACACAGCGGGCGGGCGGCACTCCCGCTGGGCAGCCTCAGGCCGGGCCCGCCCCGGCCCGGGTTCCCAGGGCAATGAAGCAGGGGCTCCCCGCCCCGCCCCCAGGGGGACTGACGCACAGGTGTGTCAGGCATGGAAGTGCTTTGAAAACTAATCTCCATACATGGGGGAGGGGCTCTGTAATTTGGTCATACTGTGGCGTGTTTTACAAAAATTTACTGAGTGTCTTTGCTGTGCCAGATATTGGGGATGCAGCAGCAAACGAAACAGACGTCAGCGTCACAGAGCTTCTCTTACAAGGAGGACAGAGGCAAACACACCGGTGTATAAACAATTCTTTTTTAAAACAGATTGTTTATTTATGTTTAGAGCAAGGGGAAGGGTGGGGAGGAAGAGAGGGAGAGAAACAGCCAGAGGGAAACAGCCATGTGTTGCCTCTTGCGTGTTACTCTGACTGGGGACCGAGCAAACAACCCAGGCACATGCCCTGACCCCTGAATTCAATCAGCGACCTTCCGCTTTGCAGGACAATGCCCAACCCACTAAGCCACACCAGCCAGGACTAAACATTTCGGAGGGCAAAAGGCCCCACGTAGAAATAGGGCTCCCTCATTGGCCAGCACGGCCCCACAGCCACGCTGACCTGCCTCTGAATCCCAGCTGAGCCTTTTACAGCCTCGCGTCTGGGAGGGGGTCGGCGCACCTGTCTCCGCGTAGGCATCATTACACGGAGAATGCAGGCGTTGATGCGCCCTTCAGGCCGTGTGAGGGTGGAAGGAGGTGCTGTGCGCAGGTGCCAGCAAATTGGTTACAGTTGCCCCGGGACGTTCTTGTGCGTGAATAAATCCATTGCAATCCTCAAACCTCGGTCCTCGAACGTCTCCCATCTGGAACAGTTTGGTTCTCAACAACGTTATTCACAGGAAAAATGTCTTGGTTGTCAAACAAAACTTTGGTTCTCGACTTGACAACCTTTTCAAGCGGGTGTCATGTTTCTTTTTTTTTTTTTTTAATTTTTATTTTTAGGGAGAGGGGAAGGGAGGAAGAGATGTGGATGTGTGCTTCTCGCACGCCCCCTACCGGCAGAGCTGGCCCACAGCCCAGGCCTGCGCCCAGACTGGAAATGAACCTGCGACCCTTCGGTTCCCAGGCCCGTGCTCAATCCATTGAGCCACACCAGCCAGGGCAGATAGTTTTTTTTTTTTTCCTTCTTCTTTCTTAAAAAAAGAAAAGAGAAAAAAAAAAGGATTTTATTTAGAGAGGAGAAAAAGAAATGTGTGCGTGGTTGCCTCTCACGCGCCCCCTGGTGGGGACCTGGCCTGCAGCCCAGACATGGGCCGGGACTGGGAATCAAACCAGCGACTCTTTGGTTCCCAGGCCAGCATTCAATTCGCTGAGCCACACCAGCCAGAGCTTGAAACTGTTTCTAATGGGGAAAAAAATGATTTGGTTTTTGAATAAATCACATCTCGAACAGCCTTCCGGAACAAATTAAGTTCGAGAACCGGTTCCTGTAATCCTAACCTGCATGTCTTTCCATGCAAACCTACTTTTGCCCGCTTCTGTACAGCTGCTTAGCAGACTGCTTACCACAGATCGCAGTCGGCAAATGTTAGCAAGTGATGTTTTCAAATGAAATTTTTTTTTCCAAAAAAATTTAAAAAGCTCTTTATACCTGGCTGGTGTGCCTCAGTGGATTGAGCGCCAGCCTGTGAACCAAAGGGTCACCGGTTCAATGCCCAGTTGGGGCACATGCCTGGGTTGCAGGCCAGGGCTCCAGCAGGGGGCGTACAAGAGACAACCGATTTATGTTTCTTTCCCTCTTTCTCCCTCCCTAAAAATAAAAATCTTTATTTTAAAAACATTTTAGAAAAAGAGAAAAATAAATATTTATTTTAAAAAGATTTTATTTTTAGAGGAGGGAAGGGAAGAAATAAAAATAAATCTTTATTTTAAAAAGATTTTATTTTCAGAGAAAGGGGAAGGGAAGGAGAGAGGGAAAGCAGTATCAGTCAGTTGCCTCTTGCATACCAGTACTGAGGACCTGGCCTGCAACCCCGGTGTGTGTCCTGACTGGGCGTTAAACCAGTGACCCTTCGGTCCGCAGGCCGGCACTCAGTCCACTGAGCTGCACCAGCCAGAGCCTCACGCTTTCCTTTCTTCGTAGCATGGCCCCTCTCTAGAACTCATATTATTAATTTGGTCATTGACATGGTTTTTTTGTTTACCCTGCAAGAACATGAGGTCTGTGAAGAAGGTATGTTATTTTTAACATGCCCAGTATCTTGACGAGCACCTAGCTCTTAACGGACCCTCTTTACTGAATGTATTGGCGCGACATCGGTTACTGAAGTTACATAGGCTTCAGGTGGACAGCTCCAGCACGCACGGCCTGTGTTGTCCGTTCGCCGCCCCGTCTCCTCCCACCAGCGCTTTCCCCCGTTGCCCCGCTCTACCCCCACCCCCGCTCTGGGGGCCTCCACGCTGCTTTGCTTAACTCCTTCACCTGTTCCACCCAACCCCCCAGCACTCTTCCTTCTGACAGCTGTCAGTCTGTTCTCTGTATCCGTGTTTCGATTGTTTATTCATTAGATCCCACGGGTGAAATCGTACTTGTCTTGCACGTCACCGCACGTTCTCCTGCCATCCACGCCGTCGCAAAGGGTACGGCTGCCGTCTTCTCGACGGCCGATGCCTGTTCTCCTTCCCCACACCCCCCAGGGAACCCCGACGTGCACGGACTCCGTCTGAGCCAGTTCACCCCCCAGGCCTCCCGACTCGAATGAAGGACCAGGGCTCTGCGGCTGGGCCGGGCCCCGGGATGGGTGGGCACTGCGGCCAGCCCCGATGGCTTCTATTTTTACCATCAGTGGACATGCTGGTCCGCTTCACTGATATTCTAGAACCAAACACATCACACACAGGTAAATGAATGCCAAGACTCTTATTAATAATTCTCTATTTATTAAAAAGGGTCCTACAGCATTATAGCCGCAGTCGAACGTGGCCCTGGGGAGGGCGGGGCCGGCCCCTTGCCCACGTCCGCCCCGCCGGGCTGCGCCCTGTGCGGGCGGCAGAGGTATCGGGTCGGTGGCACTGCCCTGGAGTCACAGAATGTGCAGGCCCGATGGGCATGGCAGTATGCTGTCCTATCCGGCTTTGTTCTCTTTCCAAATGGCCACAACACAGTGGAGCTCAAGTCCAGGGGCAGAGGCAGGTGGAAATGGGGCACGGAGGCCGGTGGCCTTGCCCGCCGCCCGTGGGGACAGGCTGTTGGAGCTCTGTCTCAGCTCTGTCGCCTCAGGGCAGGTGGTCCTGGGCCAGGGCCTGGAGCTCCAGTTGAGCACCAGCCTGTTGGTCAACAGCAGGTGGCGACCCCGCCCAAGAATTCAGCACGTGTGGCACCTCTAGACATGGCACTCTAGACGAGAATCCGGGGGGCAGGAAGGGCGGTGCCCCCTGCTCCGTGGGGCCAGCTTGCCCCCGCCGAGTCCCTGCCCCACCAGTACCTGCAGGCCGGCCATGGGCAAGAGCGCTGGCTGGGAGGAGATTCCAGGTTCGGGGCGGTGGCTTTCCTTCCCCCTGCAACGCAGCCCGGGCCACGAGCCCTTGCCGAACGCAGAGCCAGAGTTGCTGGAGCGGCGGCAGCTGGTGACGCACCCCCAGGCTGGGGGCCCTTCACTGGCACCAGGGGAAGCTAAGGCACACGCCCTGGGCCTGCAGGTCGGGGGGGGGGCCCACGCACTGCTTGCATTCCCGTCACCTGCACTTTGATCTGCTCAAAACAATATGTGCGTTTTTATAAAGTTTCCCTGAATGGTCTTGTGTCAAAAAAGTTTTCTTTCCCCAATATAAAACAGGAAAATCACCCACATAGTAAAAATATCGGAGCACTTCACAGAAACCCGGGCCGGCTGAGGCTGCGGGGGCTGCGGACAGAGCTGCTGCGCAAGGTCCGGCTCGGCCCGCCCCACAGGCCCGGCCCTGGACACGGCCGCGGGCTGAGGGCAAACCCTGTGTGTGGCTTTGAAGGATCCAGGTCTGGGGGAGGGGCCCGCCCCGCACAGACTCAGTGAGCACCTTCGGGGCTGTGATTTGCTGGGACACAACTGTCTTGGAAATAAAGCGGAAACGAGGAACCGTGCTTCCTCAGGGAAGCTGCCCCGGGGGGGGCCTCCCCCAGACTCATGCGTTCACCACCACGAGACTCAGACACCACACGGAGGCCGCACCCCGGCTCGAGGTCAGGGCCTGGCTGAGGCCGGTGCACAAACTGGGGCCCCATGCCCCTCGCCGCCGGCCTTGGGTGCTGCGGGCGCAGAGGCCGCCGGGCCATGCAGCCCCCGCGCGGGGCGGCCACGGGCGGCAGGCGGGCGGGAGTCCCCGGACAGGCGGGCCCTCACTGCAGGATGAAGCCCGGCTGGTGAGGCAGCCGGGGCGGGGGCCTCTGGGGCAGCGGCGGCGGGTATGGCGACACGAACTGCGCGGAGAGCCCTTGCTGTGGGGAGAGGCTCACGCGGGGCGGCACGGGGGGGCCCAGCGGTCCTGGGCACAGGGAGGCCTGGGCCGAGCCCACGGCCACAGCGAGCGGCGTGGCGAAGCGTCCTGCAGGCACCGGGGGCGGGATGCGCCGCGGCAGCACGGAGGGCGCCCCGCTGGCCTCCGGGGCGGGGTAGGGCAGGGGGGCGGCGGGCACTGGCTCGGGCGCCCTGGGCGGCCGCGGGGCGGGGGCCTGCGGGAGTCTCTGCCCCTTCAGCACCATCTCCTGGAGCTTCTCGATCTTGACTCTCCGCACGTGGGCCAGTTTCCGCTGGCTCTGGTAGACGTCAATGAAGGAGTCCAGTGGAAGCTCTCCATCAAGAAACTTCTCCGCCATGTTCTGAAAGAGGCAGGAGACACCGGTTACAGAACAGCCCAGCCCTGGGGGAGAACGTCCGTCCCCGCCTGGTGGGCACGGGGGTTCCCAATCCAGCCCCTTCTCCCACCCACACAGCTCCGCCCCACAGACCCACCGCCCGCTCAGCCCCTCTCCTTGGCCCGCCTGCCCCTCCGCTGGCCATACCGACGCGCACGGGGTCAGCTGGGCAGGCACCTGCTCGTGCCCACCAGGGCCCCCCACCAGGCCGATTACGCAGACTGACCTGGCCACAGCTACACCCGCACCCCCCACCCCCGCCCCAGCTCCCCAAGGCTCAGCCAGGCTCATGCCCACGCGCTGCCTGCCCGCTGACTCAGAGCAGGTGGCGCCTCAGCCACCGGCGCCCACGGGACCCTCGCTGAGTCAGCGCAGCGCGCTCCTCTCACCGGAGGGCCAGCTGCTCCACTGCTCCCCCAGGCGCCGCTGGCACCGTCCTCAGCCCGCAGGCTGGGCCGCCGACAGGCTTACCTCGGTGTCTTCCTCGATCTTGGCTCCCTCGGCCTGGAGGAGCGCGAGCAGGGTCTCCAGGGACGCGCTGCTGGGCTGGCTGTCTGCGGAAGCAGGGCGGCGTGAGGGCGGCCCCGCCTTGCCCCGCTTCCCCTCCACACACAGCCCTGGGGCAGCAGGCGATACCCCAGGGAGGTGCATCTGCCCCCCAGATCCGCCCAGTGCCGGGAGCTGTCATGGGACATGTGATGGGACCCCGTCTCCCGCTGCCCTGGAACCCGTGCATGGGGCGCACAGCGTGCAGCCAGACCCCACCGGGCACGCCCCGGGGACACTGCCACACCCCACCCCGGAGTCCGGCTGCTCCTGCACCGCAGGCTCCACCCGTGAGACACCATGTCCCGCAGGTCACCGCGTGCTGCTGCGAGAACCGCACTTCTATCGGTCGCCGCTGTGCAGCCCCCTGTGCCCTGGCGGGCCCTCGGGGCGTCCCCGCGCCCGGCAGCTATCACAGGCAAGGCCCAGCGGCATTCCGGGGGGCCCCCTCGGGCAGACGTCACTGTCCGCATCCAAGGGGACGTGCCCGGGGGTGGGGGAGGCGGAGGCAGTGAGTGCGCGTCCCCCGTCGCAGGGGCTGCTGCGTGGCCTCTCCAAGGCGGTGTGGCCGCCTTGCATCTGCGCCCTCATGGCCGCGGGCAGTGAGGGGGCCACGCTGTGCAACGCCACTGTGACCCCCAGCAGACGGGCGGTTTTGAACCTCTGAACCCATTGCCCTGAAACCCACCCAGAGCACCAGCATGCGGCCCCCACTCCTGCGCCCCAGGCCCCCGGGGGCTGCGCACTGAGGCACGAGACCGGCGTGCGGCGTCCACTCCTGCGCCCCAGGTCCCCAGGGGCTGCGCACTGAGGCATGAGACCGCATGCAGCGTCCAGGGCGACTGCTTTCCCCCGTCACCTTCAAGGGCCTAAGGGCACAGGACAGCGCATGGCCGGACGCCACAACCAGAGCACGGCCCTCCTCGTGCTGCGTGGAGAAGGTGCAAACCGGCCCCAGTTCCGCACGTAAACTGCTTCTTCGTGGCCAGGGATGGACGCAATCTGCTATTTTTCCATAAGAATACTGCTTTCCTGGTATACAAACAGCCTGAACACGTGGGCTTCCCTCAACTCTGGTCTCGAAAGATCACCCTACAAAAGTTACCTAATTTGGTCTTCTTCATCTGATAGGCTTCGAAGAGCGCCTGCAGCTCCTGGTACTTCTGGGTCAGCCTGGCCTTCAGCGCGTCCAGCCGGGGCTGGAACAGGAGGTTCCCCTCGGCCAGGCTCCGGTTGCTGGCCAGCGTCATTTCTTTGTTCAGCTGAACGTTCTGGGTCTGCAGGGAACAGACAGGACAGTGTGGCCCCAGGGTGCCAGGTCCCGGGCAAGGCCCCCGCCCCTGGAGCCGCCGTCCGCTGCCTGCGGGCTGGCCCAGCAGGCGGCGCTCCCATGGCCGCGGCCCCTCGGGTTTCTGGCTGGGATGCTTCCGGTCCTTCAAGAGCAAAGCCACTTCCTTTCCGGTGAGTTTGTCTCGTGACTGGCTCACTCAGTGGCTGTGCTGGGACCAGAATTCCTTACCACGCGCAAAAGGACGCAGCTGTATGGGCTGCAGGCTGGATTTTTTTCACAGCCAGTTTCTGCTGCTCCAGGGGAAGTTAAAGAGTCACTTGTCTCAGAGGGAGACTAGCTGGCAGGACACCCATTCAGGCTTCAGGGTCCTCAGGCCTGGAGACAAGCATGAAGCTGGGGGCCCCGGGGAGGGGGGGCAACCGAGGCCCCGGGGGCCTGCTCCGCTCTCTCCCACGGCCACAGCCACGGCCACCACGCTCCTTGGGCTCCAGGCCTCCGTCCACCCAGGGCCTGACTCTGCGCCGGGGGAGGGGCTTATCTGCCCCTCCGTGGTGTCATTCTGTCCTCCCAGCAGCGGGGACCCCTGGGAGCTAGAGAAGCCCACCTGCCTGGACCGCAGGGGTGAGGGGACAAGAGGTGGCGACACCCGGCCGGAGGGGCACTGCCTGGCCACGAAAGCAAACACACAGGAACGAGGTCCCTCCTGCTCCTGCTTCCTCTCCGCTCAGGGCCCCCGCCTCTGTGGGACGGCCCGCCCGCCCCAGCCTTGCCCGCTGCACCTGGGACCCGGCTGCACCCCATCCTGCTGTTTGCTCGTGTTTCCCCTCAGGTCTCTTCAACCCTGGGCGGGTCCCCGTGTTCCCCGCAGACCTCCTGCCCCGCCACCAGCCCACCCCTGGCCCCTTCCTCCCCTCTGCAGTCAGGGCAGCGCCTTGAGCCACGCCCACCGGAGGCCCTGAGGGGCCTGCACCCTCACAGGCATGCACACGCATGCACACACGCCCAGGCACACGCACGACTCGGCGGTGGCAGAGCACAAAGACGAGGCCCATGGACCCGCGCCTGCGGCGGGGGCCCCGGCCACCCAGCAGGGCCTCAGGGACACATACTCCCCCCCGACACAGATGGGCGCAGGCGCTGGCAAGTGGGTGCAGCTTAGAACGGAATTTAGATTCAAGGGAGAAAACGAAGGCTCTAGCTCAACACTAGGAAATCACTAGAAACACTAGAAATGCTCTCATCTCTGCGGCTGCTGCAAGGGGCAGTAGGGGCGGAAAGGCCTTCTGGGGGGGTCAGCAGGGCCCTGCACGGGCCTGGGCCCACCTCAGGCTCTGTCCGGGGTCTTCCCTCCGGCTGCTGAGCATTTCAAAGACCAAACAGAAATAAACAAGCAAACCACTGTGCAGCCGCTGTGGAAAACAGCTCAGCGATTTCTTTTAACACCAAACGTGCATCTATCATCCGGCCCAGACACGGCGCCCGGGCGTTAATCCCAGAGCCGCGAGCCTGCGTCCAGCCAAAGCCCACGCCGGGCCCACGGCCGCACTCCTAATGGCCCGCACCGTGAGGCAAAGCCCTGAAGTGTCCTCAGCAGGCGAGTGCAGGGACAACGGAGCGCCACTATGCTGCGACAAGGAGCCAGCTGCTGCCACGCGTGGCCACATGACAGAAGCCAAGCGCGGCCGGCCGGCCGGGGGTCACAGGGGCTGGCCGCAGCCTGCCCACGCGGCGGGACGCAGGAGTGGGGGCGGGACGTGGGCTGGGGGAGGGAAACGGCTCTGGGGGGCAGCCTGAAGGACGCTGGTGGTAACGACATCCTGCTGTCCCTGTCCCAAGGGCCCAGGATGCGTCTTCTGGGCGTGACCGTGGTTAACGGGGCGGGGAACGGGGACTGGGGGAAGGGCACACAGGGCCTCCCTTGGTGACGCCCCACACCTGCACCAGGCCCACCGCTGTCCTGGCGTGTCTGCTCTGCACACACGGCCGTCCCTGAGCCCTCTTCCTCCTGCTGGTCCCCTCCGGCGGACGGGTGCGGCAGGCGTGCAGGGCGCACGCAGGGCCTGGGAACAGCTGTCACCTGCCAGAGGACTGAGAGGAACGGGGTGCCCTGAGCCTCAAGCAAAGCCAGGGTCAGCGCAGACGGACCTGACCTGTCTTGCCCTGGCCTCTGGGGTCCCCGCTGACCTGGTGGCCGCAGGCGCGGCTGGCATCCCGAGTACGAGCCCAGCCCCAGCCTCAGGGGCTCCCTCTGCAGCGAGCGCTGCCCTCGGTCACAGCACCCGTTTCCCGCCTGCCTCATCACCGCGACCCGTATCCACGCTGCTTCCTCGCGCTCCGGCCGCCCCCGCCCCCGCCCCCGCCGGGATCAGTGACACAGGCGCTCTCCCGACCCTCCGACAGGCCGCGCCCCGGCACGGGGCAGCCATCAGGAAGGGTCGGGGCGACTCAGAGGGGCCCTCCCCCGGCCCCCAAAGCCAGCCCCTCGAGGCCAGGTCTGGCAAATGAGGTGGGCGACAAAGTGGGGGATCAAAAAAAAGCGAGCGCGGAGTCTGTCCAGTAATAAACACCCAGAGAGCTTGCACAGCACACGGGCTCCCTGAGCACCCTCTTGGGAGGCCAAGGCCGAGCCGGGAGTGTCTCGCCTGGGGTGCAACGTGGGCGCCTCCGAAAGCGGGGCCCCCCGAGGCCTGCCCTGCAAGCACAGGTCCCTCGGGAGACCCCTACCCGAAGGCCCGCCCGGCGCCTGGTGGTCCTGTTCCTTCCCAGCAGCAGCCCGCTGTCAGGTGTGCACCGGAGTCACCTGCAGGGGGCGGGGCGCTGAGGAACCCCCAACGCCCAGAGCACCCCGGGGCCCAGGCCTTGGGGCGCGTTCAGCGCCCCCGGTGATGCCGACCTGCAGCCAAGCATCGCGCTTCGCAGCTCAGCCGTGGAGCACAGGTACAGTCGACTCTGCCTCCCACAGGGCCGGCGTCAGGCCAAAACCGCTGCTCCGCGCTGGGTGGCCCTAGACGCGGGTCCCACGGGGGACAACAGAAGGCAGCGGCGGAGATCAAGGCAAAGGCAAGGTCTCCAGCCAACAAAAGAGGCCAAACGCAACTCAACGGATGACCAGTGGACTAGCTGCAGCTCTTCATACTGTCTATTCGTGTTTTTCCATTAAAAAGAAATCAGTAAATTCTAGGCGGCGGCCCAGACCACACCCACAGCATTTCCCGGGGGACACTGCGCCAAGGGGGAGGGGCTTTCTTTTTCAAGCCTCTGACAAAGCTCTTCCAACCCGCATGGACCCTGGGCACACCTCTGCGGCTGCCTTCGCTGCCAGAAAAGACCTCTTCCTTCCCAGTGTTCCTTCCTGCGGCCGCTGCCGGCCCGTGGCCCCGGGGGACAGCGCCACGGAGCTCGGCAAGGCCCAGACCGCCCCCACGATGCGGGGCCTGACCCCCGCGCCTATGACGGCTCTGTGCAGGGGCCCTGCAGCAGCCGCGCCTCAGAGCTGTGGCCGGGAGCCAGCAGACGTCTGAGACCGAGGGCAGCGTCGCCAGCCCTTGATGGTTCTCACACGCCTCCTTCTTAGCCAGAGAGGAATCCTTTCAGGAAGTAATCTCTCTGTGGTAAGGACACATTTTTATCAATGTGCTCAGTTTCACTTCAGTTTTCCTTTCTGCTCATAACTGAAGAAAAATGAGATGCACGGGAGCAGCACTTCGCGCGCAGAGAACCGCTCCTGCCCCGAGCCGGGGCTGGGCACCGTGTCCCCCAACGCCGGCATCCGCGGCCTCGGGCCCCTGCGACCTTCTCACTTTCCTCGCCGCTGTACACAGGTGCGGATTCGTTGTAACAAGCACGTACAAACTTACAGAAAAAGTCTTTATTAATTAAAAAAACCCGTAAGGTTAGTAGAGTGAGAGGGCAGAGGCTCCAGGGAAACATGCCATCGTCGTTTCAGAAAACAAGGCGATTTACACAGACGCGCCCCGGGAGGAAGGCCGCAAGCCCCCCGCCCCCATGCTCACGGCAACAGACGGCATTTGGGTGGGATGCACGTCCCCCTCCACGTGCAAGTCGTTCCTTCCTTCCTCACCTGGGCAGAGGGCGTGTGGCAGAAAAGAGGGGGTCGGATGGAAACCAGATATAACCGCCCCCCAGTGACACATGCAACGGTTACAAATGAGACACTTGGGGACGGGACAGGAATGCCTGCAGCGGGGTTCAACGGTCCCTCACTGCCCCTGACACTGCAGTGTCCTCATCCCAGTCAAGTAAATGACACCGCTGAGTTATGCTACTGAATTTCAATAAATAAATGGGAATTCTTGATGGCACAGCAAATCCTCTAAACGCTGAAAACCAGCGCGTCCTGGGAGCGTGGGCTGTGGCGGCTGGGATGAACCCATGGGCTCCCGCACCCACAGCCCGCGCCAGGCTGCCCGCGATCCCGCCCACATGGTGGTAGGGTGTCCCGCGGCAGAGCTCACCCGCCACCCAATCCAGCCCTGACCGGGCCGCGCGGGTGGTTGGAGTGTCGTCCCACAGGCCAAGGTTGCAGGTTCAATTCCCAGTCAGGGCACACACAAGAATTCAACCAGTGAATCCACCAATACGTGGAACAACAAGTTGGTGTTTCTCTTGCTCCCGCTCTTTCAAATCAATAAATAAAATTTAAAGGTGCGGGGGGTGGTGATGAGGCATTGTAAGCGCCATCTCAGGGAGGGCAGGCAATGGAGAGAGAAAGGAACAGGAGGCAAAGGAAACAATCACAGCTCTAGTCAGCTACCACTGTGCCCGGTGGACTTCTGGCTCCCCTGGGGGTGCCGGGGTGCTGGTGGTGGGCCGAACAGAGGCCCCCTGAACACATGTGCCCACGTTCTCATCCCTGACACTTGGGAAGGTGACCCTAACTAGATACTGGGTCATGCAGATGTAATTAAGGGTCTAGAGGTCAGGAGGTCTTCCGGGGTTACCTGATGGCCCTAATTCAGTAGCGTG